CCCTGTATTCCCCCATTTGACTGAGGATAGACATCAAAAGGAGTAACAACTAAAATAAATAAACAATCATATAATATAAAATAAATAATAAAATAATAAACCAAAAAATATATATATTATAAAATAATAGATAATAAAATAAAACAAATTATGGAAAGCAAAAAAATTCAAGTTAGGAAAGCAGTTAGTAGTGTTTTCAGATCAAACTGCAAGATGTCTGCTGTTGTGGTTACAAACGTTCCCATCATGTCTTCAGAAGTACATGAAAGGTTTTGGTTTCCTATTTAAATTCTAAATTCATTCAAATTCTTTAAAAAAAAAGGGTCTTCTCCTCTGCGGTCTGTGTGCGACTACTGAGCCGTGTCCTTTAATCTTGCTCTCTAGATTTATCTCGAGCAACACAGAAGTTCTTCTTTCACACACACTCTTTAATGCGTCCTCAAACAGGAAGTAGCTTCCGAAACATCTGCAGCATCAGAGGCTGTTTTACCGTTAAGTGGCCCAGAGGGTTATAAACAGAGGTGGGAGAAGTACTTAGATCTTGTACTTGACTCAAAGTAGAAGTATTACAGTGTAGTATTGTCGTACTTATGTAGAAACGTTTGTGCTCGTACTTAATATTTAGATTTTTCTAGGAATATCATAACTTCCTTGCCCTAAAATGTTCAACTTTCTTTCTTGTAACATCCACCAACCCTTTTTACTGACAATGCTATTCTTTTTTGTACGTGTAACACATCGTTTGTCCACACATCTTCAACAAGCACCAGAACAGGAACCAACCTGCAGTGGACGACGATTGGTCCAGGATCCGGGGCGGGGGCTGTGATTGGCTGACAGCTGGGAGGTGGGAGGGACTTCCTGTATGTCTCCACCTCCTCCACGAGTCTCAGCAGGGGAGCAGTGCATTGTGGGATGTGGTGGTCTGGCCAAGAGGTGAACCAGTAGTGTCTGATGGAACGATGCTCCGAACCCAGCTACTCACCCACACACACACACACACACACACCCACACACACACGCACACACGCGCACACGCGCACACGCGCACACGCACACACACACACAGACAAACACAACATTTTCCGTTCAGAGTTTTTGTGTTAAAATGTAAACCAAATGGAAAGACAAAAAAAAGTTGCATACTGTCTCAGCTATTTTCTTTAAACACAACCTTTATAATATGGATTAGAATATTGAATGGTTTTAAGTTTTAAAGTCCAAAGTCCAAACAGTATGTGCTTGTAAGTTTCACTCTGTTTGGTTGCTGTTTTTTTGTTCGTGCTCTGAAATGTGTTCCGTTTTCATTGGAAAGTACTTTGTTAATGTGGAAATTTTATAATTCGAAAACAAGTTCCCCGTCTAGATTCAGTAGACGGAAACGCAGATGGGCGTCCATCATGATGAAACCAAGAGTTGATTTTTATCTCAACAGAGGCGGAAAGAACATGAATGCTTAGAGCTGATATGTGAGCTATAGCTTAAAAAAACATGCATTTCAATTTAAGATTTCCTTATTTACCTCTGCAGTTTGGACTGATTGGTGTAGTCAATGCAATTCTACATAAACATGTTGTGAATTTGTTTGCAAATGTTTAATGTTCGAGTGCCAGCGGGACAAAGTGTCACTTCCTGTCAGAACGTGGCCACATTTCTGAGGCGAATTTATCTCTAAATGATGATAACGCTGCGGCATCACTGTGGCAGATGTTATACCCTGATGGACATATTTGGAAACCTGTTTGTGAACAAGGCCTTAAATCATAGGATTAGTATGAATTACAACTACTAGAGATGAAGTGGAGCAAAAAATAAAAATACTCAAGTAAACTAAGTACTTAAGTACTCTACTTGAGTAAAAGTACTTCACAGTACCTGGATGTCCATGTCAGTAACAGTGAAGCCGTCTTTCTCCCAGCTGTCTGTCACTCTGAGGAGGAATCTGCCAAACCGTTCTGTCTCTCCTTCCTCCTCCTCTTCCTCCCTCTGCTCCTCTTCTTCCTCTTCCTCCTCCTCCTTCACACTCCTCCTGCTCTTCCTCCTCCTCCTCTCCCTCGGCTGTGGCCAGTACAGCTCACACTTCTGGAGAAAAAAAAAACAGAGCTCACACACTTTCAGGACAAGTCAAGATAAAAAAAAGACATGAAAACAGTAGAGAGGAGCTGAGGAGTCGACAAACCTCGTTGTTCTCCTTCAGTCTGGTAACCATGACGATGATGCTGCTCCTCTCCTGCCACACCATGTCCCAGAAATCCCCCACGGTGTGCAACATCGGCCCCTGGGTGGCAATGTAAGCTCTGGGGGCCCCTCTGTAACCCTGCAGCACAGAGAGGTCTTCCAATGAATCAATCAACCAACAAACCAACCATTGAATCAACCAACCAACCAATCAATCAATCAATCAATCAACCAACCATTGAATCAACCAACCAATCAACCAACCAACCAATCAATCAATCAAGCAATCAATCAACCAATCAATCAATGAATCAATCAATCAAGCAATCAATCAATCAACCAACCAATCAACCAACAAACCAACCATTGAATCAACCAACCAATCAACCAACCAATCAACCAACCAATTAATCAATCAACCCACCAACCAATCAATCAATCAGTCAGTCAAGCAAGCAAGCAACCAATACATGAATCAGTTAATATCTCAATCACTCAATCAATCCAACCATCTGATCACAACCAATTAAAACATGTATAAATTAATCATAAACCAATCATCACGTATCAATCAATATCTGTCAATCCATAAATGTATTAATCGATAGAAATGCATGTTAATAGCACAGTAAAGACTTTAAGGTTACTGTCATACTCTACATGTGACTGATATTAAATAAAGTAAATGTACAAATCAAAAACAGAACCAAAACATTGTTCAGACTTGTCCTCTTAGAACTTTGAGACTGCTACTTCATAGCAGTCTGAACAGCAGTGTTTGTATCCCTCCTGAATCACCAACAGTGATGCCTTCCCTTGCTTTTGAGATCCTTGGATGCTGCATTTATTTGATAGTTCATATTTATTTTGGAGTTGAAAATGTAAATACAGCTTATTCAATTTAAGAAATTGCAGAAATCTTTAATAACTTGCATAAATTGTTGTTTTTTTGCAAGTGGTTACATTTTTAAGAAACCCATAACTGCATCATGCAGAAGATATGACTACTTTTGAAACCACAAAACATCTTGGACATCATGAGACAGGAAGTGAAGAGTGAAGGCTGTTCTCTTCATGAATAACAACCGCGACAACAACTAAAGTGTCCAATCAGTCACAGATGTACGTTTATTTTGTATTAAACTGTAAATCAATTTGCACGTGTTTGTTATTCTATTAAACAATTTGTAGATGTTGTTGCACATCTGCTTTTCAACAACACATACACATACACACACACACACACACAGCGCTGAGGCGGCAGAGTGTGAGGGATGCGTGGGCCGGCGGTGAGGGTGGGGGGTGAGGGGGTTAGTCATTTA